AATGCGTTTCTTGAAGGAATACAACATCATTCTTAAAACGTTTTACGTATAAAAATATAGATCTTCTCTTCGAGTGACTCCTAATGCCTCTTACATTAAGAGTGCATAATCTTAAATTTGTGTGTGGACCTTTAGTAGCAGCACACTATAAGCTTTGAGTAAAATAAAATACAATTATCCAATAGTCCTTGCACATATAATTCGAGGCATATAAAATATTCAATTTCTAACAAATAATTTGTCCAAACCAACATCACATTCATCCAGCTTTCATTCCATTCATACTTTACATTCATAACTTCATTTCCCATATATAAAACACTTGATAATAAATAAAAGAAGCAAAAGTTTACACTTTTCAGGCGCTTGCTAATGCCTAGGTCACATAGCCGCCGGGCGCCGGCCGATGAGTAGTCATCGGCCGATTTCTAAATCGACCGGGCGCCGGTGACTTTTCACCGATGTCTTGATCTAATCGTGAGTATGGTCACATTAGTACAGGCATCGTACGGCGCCCGCAATCAATTGAATCTGAAAGACATCGCACGGGTATCGCAAGGCTATCTGCCGATGGCCGTACGGCACCCGCCAGGACATCGGTCGATCTACAGGCCTCTAGATTTATACTAAATTCTTGTATGACCTAATATGACTGTTCCGCATGGCGTGAATGCAAGATTCGAAAACGAAATACTTCGATAGACAGGACTTCCAGGATAATAATCTTTTCATGCAATAAAAATCAGAAAAAGAAGATCCTCTTTTCGAGTAAATAGGTTCAATATTTAGAAAAAATGCTGACACGGGTCCCTATTCATAATTTTTCAAATTGTTTGATTGATATTTTTACTATCATGGGTACTCCAATTGAAAGAAAACACATTGTTTCAATAAAAACATTGTATTTATGCCCAGAAAGTACTCATGGTGAAAGTTATGACCGTCTAAAATCACTTGCCGTACTGCACGTGGTCTTTTCATCAAAGTGCACCCTGACCTTAATTCATTTTTAGATCTTTCATATAAACAAATACTATGTCCACCTGTCCATCCGATACTATTAGCAAAATTCCATATTTCTGCATCTTTCTTTTGTCTGTTCTCGTAAAGAGAATTTGTTTGGTCATAAAAATATGGCCTATTTTCAAAGAAATTGGCAATATTTTCTTCTATTTCAAGTGGAGTACCCTCTTGATCCCTAGACACATCTAAATCTCCATCATCCGCCAGCTCACTGGCATTGTTATTGTCTTTTTCCACCTGTCTTTCCAAGGCCTTCGTCATATATGGCCCATTGGCCTTATCCCCTCTATCCTTAGCCTTTGGCATATTAACTGTAATTCGAACATGACTGTATTCACGCCTTCTATAAACTGTAATCAAAGTCAATGCTTCAGCTGGGTTATATTCGAGTATAATAACCCAGTTAATACGTGTAATGTGTGACGTCATAACGGTGGGTCGTAGTAATGGCGGATCATGATGAATTATTCGAAACAATTTGGTGAATTTTCATGTTCGAATCGTAATATAGACCTCAGAGCAGGGTTACTAGTTTCGAATAACACGCCGCTGGTCTCGGCACAAAGCTTTCGAACCCCTCACCTTCGGTCGTTCGGGGTACAGAAAACGTTTGTGCCGAGACCAGCTGGGTGTTATTCGAAACTAGAAACCCTGCTCTTTGGTCTATATTTCTTAATTATTGAGACAATGAACTTCGTATTAAAATTGTGACCCTTCAAAATACTGTACTGTTCTCTCTGTACTCACAAAATCAGTCAGAAGATTTTTAAAATAAACGATTTGTAATTGTATATAGCATGAGTGAATATACGTATAAAAATGTATCACTCTATTCAATGTGTATGACAGACATGTACACGATTAATGTCAATATAAGAACGACTTGATCAACCCACCCACCCAGCCATTCAAATGTGTGCCATTGTTTTACAGTAAGCCTAATCGTTCCATTTATGTTTTATAAAAAATCTCTGACAGTGTGTAGTAATTATAATTCCTTACCTCATTATTTCTAGAACCTTAATATCACTTTATAAGTAATCATTATTAAGATTTATCAAACAAATCAGCACGCAAAATCCCAAGATGACCGTGCGATGCCACCGGGCGCCGTAAGATAATCGTACGATGACCGGACGGGACACGGCCGGTTAGGTACCGATGAGTTTGGTTGAGAAAAAATCGCCAAGACATCGGCAACTTTTATCTCCGCGATAAAACTCTGCCGGCGCCCGTACGATGTCTAAAAATCGGCCGATGAGTGGCGATCATCGCCCGGCGCCCGTACGATGCCCGGGCTCGCCGGCCGATTTTGAACAAAATACTCATCGGCCGGGCGCCGTAGTGAAAATCGGAGCCTATGTGACCAAGGCATTAAGTAACATAATTTACAGTACGAATAATCCAGCTTGGCCAGAAGCCAAGCTTCAAGCGCTAACCAAACATATATACAACTTGATTTTTGCATTTCCAAAGGACTCCATTCGCTTACTTTTGACCGCTTAAAAAATCTACACGCACATTATACGAGCATTACAGCGGTCGATTTCAGCATAACTGATCTACTGTGTATAGATTTTGCCATCGCGCGGACGTCAGTGCGCTATCAAAACAATAACAACATTTTGTTTGTGAAATCTGTAGTGCTCGTATTTTGTTCCTATAATGATCAAAGAATACATAAATGATACACATAATTACAGAATTTTTGTAAAAAACTCGGCATATCGCAAATTACCCCCATTACAACATAAGTTGTGGAAGAAATGTGTTAAATCAAGGAGAGGGGGGTAAAATATGCTTGTATATGACCAAATCAATTTTCAAGCTCCTTCTCTATCCAATATACGAAAGGTGATAGACAGTATACTCACTTATTCCAAAAGTTTCCCAATAACATTATTTTAATTCAAGAAGGAACTATATAGTAATAACTGTAAGTATACACAGACAGGTAAGCTAACTACAGACGTGCCTGGATCGAAAAAGAAAAACATCCATGCGCGGAATCAAAAGAACAGAGAAAATATTTGTCAGTCGTGTAACAAAAACTATTACGACTGTATGGATCAATTTTTTCTACAGGATTAAGTGACAAAAATGCAATCTGTGGTATCATGAATCCATAGAATTTTCAGGCAAATATGGACAACTGATCATCAGTGCTAAGACTGATATGTTTTCTTTAAAGTTCTAAAACTATACACGTATATGACTGGCTCGTATGGCCGTCCCACTGCTGAGTTATGTAATAGACTACTATAAACGACATGATATTTTGTTCTAAAACACGTTAAGTTCAGATTCAAAATCAGTTCATATATCCCCATAAGTCATATTTACTTGAAGAATGGAATTTTGTAACACATCAACTTTCTCATCACTGCTGATTGTTCATTACGATATAAAATGAACGAAAATAGAAACGTGCACACCCCCTCCTCTTTACTGTTACGCTGTATCATGCATTAATTTATAGAGAGAAAATGATTTACATATACGATCTATCAGACCTCTAAAACGTCATCTGATAATAAAATGTAGTATTTCGTATCTTTATTTTGTGGTAAACATATTAAACCAGAGCATATTAATGAGCCCGAGCCCAAAAGGGCCAATTTCCTCGTCGTTATGTTTTACATAGCTCTTCATAATTGTTCGCAATAAACACTTAATCGCTGCATGCATATGTGACCGTTGATACAAATGATATTTTGATTTTGTAAGGTTCGTGTTTGAACAGGTATATTCTTTCATATTTTGCTTTTGTACGAGAAATGCGTAATACAAAAAACAAAAAGCAACTTATTTTTTGTTAACTTCTTGTCAAATTTGGGTATTTAGTTAATTTGTCACTTTTCCTTAAGAACCACCATTCAATTCATCTTTAAAACAGATACACAAGTTGAACTGAAGTCTGTGTCATTATTCAAAAGCATCATTTTGTTTTTCACATAGAAGTTAGTATTAAACCAATGGTGTCTTCACTTTCGCTAATGATTTTTCTCGTCGGCATGGCCAATAGCATTGGTTTAGATATTGCTTGGTAACGAAAAAATCGAGGGAGTATACTAAAATCATTTCGTGGTTTAATTACATACTATATATAGGATTCTTTTTATCAGGTTTTGGTAAAAATATAATTTTATCATTTTTTCACTTTACCTCATTCTGAATTTTTCATGTTTTGGCGTCTTCAGTGAGAAACGACACGACATCCGGGGCTTTGTTTGGTCTTCATTAGACAATGGTGTATAAAGGGGTAGGATTTCTCAGACCTAGGTACCTTTTTCTGTACCGTTTTGCGGTTATTTTACTCTATGGCATTGCAATCTGTTCACATCATTAGCTACATAATTGACTAACTTAAATATATGATATGTAAATAAGGGTTAACACTAACAGAATAAACAGGAAAATGTACTTGAAGTGGCGATTGTGTTTTCTGTCAGTCAGTCTTACCCCCCCTTACCCAGCTCTATAGCGCAGTATAAGGTGACCTGATTATGCAAATGAGAAGACCCCGTTGGTTTCTCGTCAGAGCAATCAAAACGGATGTGGACAATCTTCGTTTTAACTGTTGTATCCGAACAGTTGGTGACCGTAATTCAAGTGCTAGACTATCGAAAATAGGTTACGTTTTAAGGATAGATTGTTTTTACTTACCAATCATCAACATGTGCTGACATATTCAGCTCTGGACTTTATGTCCAAAGGGGGGTAAGACACATCGTCAGAAAAAATTTCAAGTTATCCAACCCCGATCATTTATTGGCTAATTCAAATCGGATGCAGTAAAAAACCGAACGCCAATTTGCGAACGATCCGGGTATTCCGTTCGACCTTGGCAATTCTAGACACGCAGCAGTCACATTTGCTATGGAATAATACTAAACATAACCGATTAATCAATAATTTAATGAATAATAAACATAAACATGTTCCATACAAGTACATGTTGATATGTTTGCTTTTAGCTCAGAACCCCGCAATGGTGACGACTGATGGAAGATGTGGACCTGAGTTTAATAACCGTGAATGCCCCATCGATTCAATTATACCTAGATGGGCCCATGTGAGCCCATGCTGTAGTTTAAGTGGATGGTGTGGCGACACCGAGATGCATTGTAATGGCATTGATTATAGAAAGATTTATGCACCAACAGGTACCGTATACACTGCCATTCTCGAACAGTACTATACAGCGCTGTTTATGGAACAGTGCTGGACAGCGCTGGACAGCGCTGTAAAAACAGTATTGTTAGTACCTAGGCTGAAATACTCAATTCTGATTGGTTAATTAAAAGTGAAAAATATGTACTATTGACAGCTACTCTTAGTTATGTTGACTGCTATACTAGATACTGTTTGCCGCTACTTTTGAAAAAAATGGGGAAACAATTTAAAGAAATTTGGGAAAAAAGTTTTGAAAACGAATTTCGGGAAAAAATTTGAATAAAGAATTTGGAAAAATATTTTGAACAAATAAATTTGGAAAGATTGGGAAAATAAGTGATATTCGATGGTTTGGAGATTTTTGCTTAAATATGATATCTTGAACCACTTATCAAATATCTTCAAGTGATATTCATTATTTATCCTTGTAATGATAATATTCTTCGGACTAACAAAAACAATTGTTAACCTCTGTATTCGCTCAAATGGTAAAAGTGTATACCTCAACCAGTCAACAGTAAACCTTGAGAGTACTTTTGCCCTTGTCCTTGGTCAACAGTACTTTCAAGGTTTACAGTATCGGTAAACAAAAATTTGCGAGCTGACCTCGAGAGGTCTACAATTGTATACTGTACTACGCTGTTCAAAACAGTGCTGTGAGAATAGCACTGTACATCGCTGGACAGCGCGGTTCTCGATCTGTTCAGTAGCAGTACTGTTTGCAGCGTTGTACAGTGTTGCAAGATGTCGATGTAATGAATCTTTGCGTTATGCGTGTCAAACTAGGGTGAAAGGTTCAAAAACACTTGCCAGAGAGAAAAGGCCAGCAATCATAAAAAGTGGCAAAATCGGAAACTATAAACTTTGAAACAAAGGAAGTTTTAATTCATTTTATCATATTTTAACAGCAGAGCATATCAATAAAACACAAAATCAAACCAGTATATTTTAGAGAAAACACAGTTTAAATCGATCATAAACCCCATGATAAAGCATTATTGTGAGTATCTTAAAAAGCAACGAAGTGTTTCAGGTATCATCCAAATTTATTTTTGCACATGGTGATATAATATGTATAGCACAGGGGCGGATCTGGGAACCAACAAGGGGGTGGGGGGCAAATTCCAAGTCTGATCAAAAAATGAGGCCTTTTCTGCCCACCGGATCCGCCAGTGTAACTGGTCCACTCTTAAAAATTATTACTTAGATTTCCTTATATTGAGAAATTGTACTACTCATTTAATTTAAGTCAAAAATTACTTAAATAATCTTGAACTACTGAATAATTTTTAAGTAATTTTTAAGTAATTCATTTATGGTGAATTTACTAATGCAAGGAGAGAAATTGAAATACTTACTGTAGTAATTGTAATACTCATTTACATAATTAGGCAATTAAAAAACTCAAAATGACAATATAAGTTAAACCTAAGTAAAATGAAGTAAAACTAAGTATTTAACTTTAAGTAATTTTTATACTTGGGAAATACTCAAGTAATTCATTTTTAAGAGTGTCTGCAATGTACGATAGATGAACCAAAGATATCATATGCCTTAGATTGAGATAATGATTGTTCAGTGTCACATTGTGAATGTATAACAAAGTTATAATTTGGTTAAATACGGTATTTACTTCCAGGATAAGTCAACTGACGTGAAAAATCCTACATCAACGACAATACCAACTACAGACTGTATAGCAATCCACGAGGCGTATATGATTCGATAACTCCTTTTACGATTGCTGAAATCCTAAGACCAAAACTGCAAACAATATATTAAAAACTTACGTTTACGTATTACTTACGTATAGACGACGATTTATAAGAATATCGAACTTATGGACGTTTAGAGTTGCGCAATAAATGATGACGTAATCAAACGCTTCATAAGTTATACGTTATACAGGAATAATAAACATGCTATAAGTGAGTTGCAAAATCGTGTAAGATTTTTAAATTATAGACGCTTTCACTTTTAGATCATACGTACAAACTTGCAGTTTTTCCCCATTCTGAAAATTTTTCGCATGATTTTTAGCCAAAATTGCGAAAAAGCTCCTCCCCTGGAAAAAGCTCCCCCTCCTGTTAAAAGCTGGCTACGGGCAAGTGTTCATCCTGCACTAGACTGTAGTAATATACACAAGCCGAGTGCTACGTATTGGTTCAACTGAGCAGAATGTACACCTCCCTCATTTAACAGTCAAACCCAATGACCATTTATGATCCTAGTAAACTTTTTCTGACTTAGCTATACCAAGATCAAACCCCTAGTTATGTGTCGCTAATGCACCCTATGCAGACAGAGCTTGTGGGAAATATTGGGTGCGGCGCAAATGAGCGGAGGGTGCGGAGCTAACGGTCATTTTTGAATTTAAAATTGGGATATTTCTGAAACTAAGCCGTTTTGGGACTTCAAATATACCAAGATATGTGTATTTGACACCAAATATCAATAAAATTGTGAAAATAGTAGTGCAATTCATTTTATAGCGACGCAATATGCCTTAAACATTTCCCAGACCTATATATTTTGAGACTATCCTTTTAATACTGCGTCCCCAGCATTCATAAAAATGGTGTTCGTTTATGGAGCTCCTCCGCACCCAATATTTAGAGGGGGCTCATATCGGAAAAACATTTCCGAATTTTTATAAAATCACACAGATACTGCCTGGCTTCCAAGATGCAAAATAATTTGTATAGATAGTGTACATTGAACACCATTTTTTATGAATGCTGGGGACTCAGTATTAAAAGGATAATTTCAAAATATATAGGTCTGGGAAAGGTTTAAGGCACACTGCGTCGCTATAGAATGAATTGCGCTACTATTTTCACAATTGTATTGATATTTGGTGTCAAATACACATATCTTGGTATATTTGAAGTCCCAAAACGGCTTAGTTTCAGAAATATCCCAAATTTAAATTCAAAAATGACCGTTAGCTCCGCACCCTCTGCCCATTTGCTCTGCACCCAATATTTCCCACAGGCTCTGTCTGCATAGGGTGTAATGGTGCTGTCACATTTTCGATCGACACTTTCGATCACCGTTTGCAACCGTGAATACTTTTGAACAGACGGTGGGTGAGTGTAATAGTCTGCTTTTGTTGAGATATCAGGGGCGGATCTGGGAATCAACAAGGGGGGTGGGGGCAAACTTCTGGTCTGAGAAAAAAACAGCACACAATAGCATTAGCATGAAGTGTTACATTAGAATACCGAACATCATTGTGTGTTTCAAATGACAAATTCACATTATGAATAAATTTATTTCTTCCAGTAATCAATATATGACAGTTATATAGAAAAATCTGATTCGACGATCGAATGTTTGATTCATGGTTAGTTTTCCTTCTGGTGTAAAAGAGTTAAATAATAAGGATATGTCCACCTTGTTGAGGTCGGAAAGAGACATATACATGTAGATTATAGTCAGTATGGTTAAAATATCACGCATTTGTTCAAGCAAATGTTCTATTTGTGTGCTTTGGAAATGCAGTTGAAATTAAACATTTGATATTCATCAAGATTGCAAATACAGAAGTGAAAGACAACTTCACAAAGACAGTTAGTGATAGCACTGCGAGTTCGTGTGCTCAAAACATGTACATGTACGTTGTACTTGGAACTGAAGTATTCACGTTGTTATGAATGTGGTCAAACCAAGGGACCCGCGATGAAAGGACGAGTGGCTTTAAGACCCTATATTAGCCCCCAAGATATTTAGAAAAAATTGTACAGGATATCAAAGAAGAGACTGTCTTTGATAACCAGATCCAGAAATTGGGTCATTCTGACATTTATATTTCAAAATATAGGTCATTCTATTAACGTGTATAAAATGACATTTTCAAGGAAAATCACTTTTTACATCATTATTGTCAATGTTTCTATTTATTATCAAAGTAATCATTATTTTCAGTCATTTAAGACTTTTTAATTGAACCTGTTGCTATTATCTTACATAATAGTGACAAAGCATATTGGGCAACATTCAAAAACATATAAAATATAACAAGTCAAAAATACAAACAAAATATTGAATAGTGATCTTCTTTATACTTCATTTAGAATAATTGTCTACAAAACAAGTTTGCGAAACTATGTCAGAAAAGCATATTATATTTTTTTAATTTACATCACAATGAGAAAAAACAAGGGACAACATTTAAAAACACATGAAGTAATTAACAAGTCAAAAATGCATATCAACCAATTATATATTGATCTGCTTCCTTGAGATCATTTGCACATATGCAGTTTGTGGCAGTAAAATACTGAATTTATTATTTCACATCACAGTGAGGAAGCACAAAGAGCAACATTTGAAAACACATGGACTTTACATAACTGTTGATGAGCACATTCATGTGTTTGTTCATTATAATAAGAGATTCTCTGAGATATCATCGTCTTCTTCAAATGACAACATTTCATACATATCTTTTGATTTTAAAATGTCAAACTTCATGCATTTCTTTTTGCTTTTATACCCCTTGTCCCTACAACCCTATTCCAAACAAGGCAGGTACATCACCATCCAGTGTTTGCATTAATACTATTACATACATCTGGATCTGGGTTATACTCCACCCATGTATAATGAGATTTAGAGGACACAAACCGATTACTGGTCTTTTACACAAATTAGGCCATATGTATCTTTTTTAACAATGATGGTATATTTCCCATCTACTTGAAGATGGTCATCTGTGCATCGTTTAAATTGGTTGGCCTGATCTTAAGAGAGTCTACTATATTTAGTTGTAACCCTCTTGTCTCCATACAGGGGGTGCAGGGAGATTGCAGTTCACTCATGCAGTTCACTTTGCTTTGGGCATTTTATTAGCAAATGCCGTTTTTCCGCCTACTGATTGTGACTTACAGTATATTTCTTCTGTACAATAAAGTTGAGCTGGATTTCTAAATATGAACAAAATGATTGTACAACAATCATCTCATATGAATGTATTGAAAGGAATTGCATGTTATTATGTTGCTTAGAGCCATGGTAAAGATATATGCTTCTCAAGAGGTCATGCTCCAGTGCAAGCATACATAGTAGTTCATGAAAAGATCATATGAATAAAGAAAATATACTCAAATATATAAAACACAACTGTCACAATCATTCTAAGGATTTTCAAAATGGAAGACATCATTTTATTTCATGCTGAAAATTGCAGAAAAGTTTCATTTTTGCACAACGCTTGGTCCTTACCTAGATTTTTACATATCTCAAGAAGTACCTTAGAAGTACACTATTCCCTCAATACATATAACTTTCTAGGTAAGAACCAAGCGTTATATGAACAAAGCAAGAGTTTATCATGACCTTCCTCTATCTAAAAAGAAGTAGGTCAACACAATTGCAAACATAACTAATCTCTACTCAATGACTATTGAAATATGACTATTTATATGTACAAAATATTAATCCAATGAGTGTATAGAGTTACACAATCAAACAATGGGACATCTGCCAAGTTGGGTTTATGCATTCTGGAGACATTTTCTGAGACTGATAAAAAATTCACATTTTCACAGGAAGTGATACATACCTCCCAAATCAACCAAAATATACTTATATCAGGAATCTTGAATGCTTTTTATTGCTATTTTTGAAAATATACATATTTATCTACAATTTGATCCTACATATCAAGGATATTAACGACATTGCATTTTCCAAAAAATGTTAAGTGACCCCAGGGGTGTCTATAGCCATTCGTTCTTTGAACTTGCGGTGTTCCCGATAAAGGCTGCAATAAAAAGGAAAGAGGATTATGTTTTTTTACTTTATATATACTATCTAAAGCATTTTCATTAAATCTAACCAATTTATTACATGTTGTTAAGATCGTGACCGTACTAGTAGTGTCACATGTGCTACTACATACAAGTAAAAATGAATAGTCAATGAATCAATCTAGCATGCCTATGGGTCACTTTTGGTTATTTCACACCAACATAGGTTTCTGGCACAAACGATAACTCGGAGAAATACGGGGTAAATTTACAAATCACATATGGTGCATAAGCATATAAAGATTTACAGAACTGATTTTGAATAGAATCCTCACGTATTTGATATTTGAGACAATTTTTCAATATTTTCCGCTCTATTTAATGGAGGCCATTCACCCTATCTGTAACATGTCAAAGTATAATGTTATTGACATATGTATAAGTCATATCTTTATCATAGTTTGTGAAGGTATCGTGGAATAGCTTGAAAAATATTTTGAACAAATTAGCTGTTTGTGACTGTTATATAAAAACAATGCGAACCTTTTGTGCCCTTTTCAATGTATCGCATGTTTAGCTCCCTTTTCAATGTATCCCATGTTAAGCTCCCTTTTCAATGTATTGCATGTTAAGCTCCCTTTTCAATGTATTGCATGTTCAGCTCCCTTTTCAATGTATTCCATTGTTTAGCTCTGTCAAATGTGTTAGTGTTCAATGAAAATGGTTTCCTTATCAATATTTTTTCATGATTTAGCAATTATATCCGAATCGTCACCTCATTTGTCTTGTCTATACAGATATCGGTATTTGTATATTAGTATCAATAGCTAAAAAAATAAATCCTTTGTCAGCTAAACATGTAGTTGCATGCACAATCATTAAACCTTGCACTGAGTGACGATAAACTTGACACGAATCAAAACCTTGTCTAGTTGATAACAACAAAAACGGATTTCCATTTGTTTCCATGAGTTCGCCTTGAATTGTTCTTACATATAAAATATCCTTGTTTTAACGGTCACAATTATGTCTCATTGACATTGTTTCCGTTTGATCGCTCATGAGCATTTAAGTATTCTTACCTTCTCGTTTACCAAAACATTGAACAGGACAACCGGTCTAGTTTTCAAATAGTAATGTCTTTGCGGGCGAGTATGACATTTATTGATCAAGCCTGATACATCATGTAACTGTTCATCTCATTCAATTCTAATATTGAAATTGTGCCGTTTGATCCCAAGAGATCATGAAATAGAAGGGTTATCGCCATTACTCCGAAAGCAAATAGTCCGAAACCCCTTTGTCCGATAATCGTGTTTATTCTACACTTAGTGTACTTAATGTATCGGGTCTCCCCAAAAATGAGACACTTTTTGACAAGTATTTTATCGGATCTGATGAACCAAATTCACTGAAAATTTGTACAAAGCAGTCCAACAGTATCGTCAGCAAGGTACAATAATATGTAACAGATCAAGTAAATTGTATGTGATGACTAAGAAATTCAGATAGCATGTCGAAATATCCCATACCAGAGCAACGCAGTGAGAACTTTATAGCGTTTCTACCAAAAATGGGAAGCATTTTGACATGTAATTTCTCAGTAATAGATGAGCTAAGATCTTTTAAAACTTCACTTTTTGCACTTAAGGCTATATTTTGCTAGTGCTTTAAATATATTAGAGATTGGTCACATATAATGTGTGTATTTTTGAATCAAAGACAGTATGTCAAAATTACCAATTTAAATATAAAAGTCACTTATTAATCCATTTCCAAGCAAAACTACTTTTACGTGTTTATTCTAACAATATCACCTCCAATGAATTTTGAGAATGAATGGCTTTTGGTATTTGGGAAGAATGAAACGAATTAATTAGACATGAGACGCAGCCAAGCTATATTTTGACCGAATAATAGTTCCTGGGATGACAGAATCGTCAATATATTTGCCCACTTTACGGAACTTCAAAAATAGTCAAAATCGAGAGGGGTTGGGGTCAATTTGACAATGTTATAACTACTATGTTTATGCTTTTGTTGAGAGCTCCCGAGTAAATGTCGTTCCGATGTCATCTAGCTGTTTTGATTGGAACATTTATAATTTATTAGCGTTGTTAATATGAAGTGTAGATAAATCAAAATAGCCATGCAATCTTGTAATCTGATTTATGATTATTCTCCTATTAGGTCTAATAAATTACAAGCAATTGTTTTGGTGTCACCATACATTACACAATAGCATTTGATATTATGCTACATCAGATTACCGAACATCATTGTGTTGTATTTCCCAAATCACATTACGAATTAATCTATTCCTTGAAGTATTCAATGTATGGCAGTTATATAGAAATATCCGATTTGACGATCGAATTTTTATAATTCCTGGTTAGCAGCATTTTCATTCTGGTGTAAAAGAGTTAAATATATGAAACAAAGTGAGGATTTATCTATCTTGTTGGGGTCGGAAACAGACATACAGATTACAGACAGTATGGTTAAAACCACGCATCTGTTCAAGCAAATGTTCTATGTTTGTGTGTACTTTGGAAATACAGTTGAAATTAAACATTCGATATTCATCAAAATTGCAAATACAGAAGTGATTGACAACATCACAAAGATAGTTGGTGATAGCACTGCGAGTTCGTGTGCCCTGCAGTGTCTGTTGAACGACAGGATTTGTGAATCATATAATCTTCGAAGAGTGGAAGGCAGTAATGTTAAAATTTGCGAGTTAATAGGGGCGAGTAACGGCCTGCCTGTTCCTGATTCCCTCAGCGATCATTTTTATAGCCAACCTGGTAAGATTTTTTTCTCCATATAATACCAATTACAAATAACATAACCAGAATTAGCAGCAGCAAAAACAAACTTACAACTTCCATATCATCATTTCATAATCAAATAAAAATTCTAAATTTGGATGGTTCCCTTTCTTAAATTTACTAATTACATTGTGTGCAATACTTATTACAACATTTACTTCTTGGTCTCTAGTACCTAACATCTTTTCTGATGTACTAAGGTTAATTTTTTTGTTTAATTTTTTAAGACAGTATGTTTCCACCATCACCCAAACTTGCTTTATATATGTACAATCCACAAAAAGTGTTTATATGTGTCTTTTATATTACGTTTTTCACAGTTGTTTGATTCTTTCTTTTTCATTTTATAAAGTAATTCATTTGTTGGATATGTTTTATAGAGTATCTTATAAAAAAGTGACCTTAGCCTAGGCTCTTTTAAACTTTTAACTGTTTTAAAAGCCAACTTCATGTCTACCTGGCATTCATTTCTCCATTTTTCAGGAATATTTGGAATCTCTTTTTCATTCTGAATAATTATGCTTTTAAAGTCTTTTAATTTTGCTGTTGCATTACAATATTATTAGACTCCAGATGTCAATCTGGAGTCTATTGTTTTTGCCAGTATTCTTCTTATTATTTTTCTTTAAGAGTTTTTTCAATAACTATAAGGTATCCAGTAAAGATCATAATACAGTTTATTTAGGTTCAGTATCTAGTTGGTGGGAAATTGGGTCAAATTTTTATCTAGGTCAAAGGTCAAGAACTAGGTCAAATCCAGTACTTTGTCACTTTTTTCGATTTTCTCAATCATCCTTCAATATTTTTGATCCGTTTTTTTTCATTGTGTTCCTCATTAAAAAGTAGAAAACCCAGGGTCGATTTAGTTTTTTGGTATCTCAAACCGATTTCGAGATATCAGTGTCCGAAAACGAGGTCGAAAAATTCGGTTCTCCGAATCCAATGTCCAGGATATCAGTCTTATAGGAAATTTTCTCAGGATTCCGAATCTGAAAACCAAATTTCGATCTGACTTCCGGTTCAGAAGTTATGGCGTTTTGAAAATTCAAAAATCGCTAATTTTGGTGCCCCATGTTAATTCAATGGGAAAAAATATTTTTTTGAAGTGTAAAATACGAGATATAGACTAAGCACAGCTAAACATAATGGAAGCCCATAAAAGAAAGGGACCTCAAAACATTCTTTTCATAAAAATTTGGACACCAAAATGCCTAGGTCAAAATCTAGGTCAAATTCAAAGTTTTTCCTTATTTTTGCGATTCTGACACTACAGATTAATTATATTCTTCGAAATTTTGTATACATGTAGCCAAGAGTGTGCTAATAGTGTTAGCCTTTTGCCGTCAGAAAGTATTTTGACCCACTTTTGAGATATGGTGTCCGAAAAATAGGTCAAAATAAAAAAATCTCCAAATTTAACGTTTGAGTTATGAATTAAGTATAACATTTTCTCAGGAATCTGAATCTGCAAATCAAATTTCGATCCGACTTCCGGTTCGGAAGTTATGACATTTTGAAAGCTCAGAAATCGCTAAATTTGGTGCCCCATGTTATGTCAATGGGAAAAAAGATTTTTTTGAAGTGTAAAATACGAGATATAGACTAAGTACAGCTTAAAATAATGAAAGCCTATGTAAGAAGGGGACCTCGAAGGCTACCTAACTTCAAAATTTGGACACCAAAATCCCTAGGTCAAAATCTAGGTCAAATTCATAGTTTTTCCTTATTTTTGCGATTCGGACACTATATTTAAATGATTTGCTTCAAAATTTTGTATACAGGTAGGAAAGAGTGTGCTAATAGTGTTAGCTTTTTGCCGTCAGAAAGTATTTCGACCCACTTTTGAGATATGGTGTCCGAAAAGTAGGTCAAAATAAAAAGTTCTCAAAATTTAACATATGAGTTAGGAATTAAGAGAAGAATTTTCTCAGGAATCCGAGTCTGCAAACCAAATTTCGATCCGACTTCCGGTTCAAAAGTTATGGCGTTTTGAAATTTCGAGAAAAATCGATCTGATCGTATCCTGATAGAAAGTCAAGAGTAGAGAAGAAAATATTGAAAAATGCATCCATCCTTCCTTTGTGATCCTATCGTATCCTTCTTATCTACCTTTCCTTCGTATCCTCTCCTTCCTATTCTATTCCTTCTTCCTATTCTATTCTATCATTCTTTCCTATTCTATCCTATCGTCCCTTCCTATTCTAGCCTATCCTTCCTTCCTTTTTCATCCATCCATCTTTTTCTGGATGACTCAGCTTATTTTGGATGACTCGGCTTATTTTGGATGACTCGGCTAAAAAAAAGTCTAGATCTGGAGTCTGAAATTGAACTTCGTTCAATTTCCAAAGTCTAGTTATACATGTGTTCATCACTATTATGCACAATGGTTTTGTTGTCCAATAAAGATTTTATCTTTAATTTTATCTTTATCTTTAATTTTTATCATAATTTATTCGAACATGACTGTATTTACGCTTCCTATAAACTGTAAACAAAGTCAATGCTTCAGCTGGGTTATATTCGAGATCAATAACCCATGTGTAATGTGTGACGTCATAACGGTGGGTCGTAGTAATGGCGGACCATGATGAATATTCGAAACAATTTGGTGAGTTTTCATGTTCGAATCGTAATATAGACCTCACAGCAGGGGTAATATCGTCGAATACACCCCTTGGGACTAGGCACAAAAGCTTTCGAACCCCTCACTCCCTTCGGTCGTTCGGGGTACAGAAAACGTTTGTGCCTAGCCCTGCGGGTTGTATTTGACGATATAACCCCTGCTTTTCGGTCTATATTTCTTAAATATTGCATTCTAAGATCTGGTCTTGGACCAATGACATTTACTTTTTCATCAAAATTCTTTATCTGATTATCCTTATTAAGAATATGTTTAATTTTTTGAATTCCCTTCTTAACCCATTCATTAAAAAATAGAACATTTCTACCATATCTTAAACTGTTATTGTTCCATATAATATCATTACTGAACATCTTTATTCTTCAACCATTGTTTTACAAGTTGTACATAAAAATATGGTATGGTTTCTTGATTTTTTTTCGTGATTTTTATCATTTTGGTTCGATGTTTACTCCAGTCGTCTCATCATTTCATATACGTACAGTTTGCATAATGTGAAAAATAATTTTCAAATTACTTATTGATGAATCATTGAATATCTCAATATCCACTCATTGATATCATCCATGACAAACCATTCGCTGCGCTAACTTGTAGAGATGGACGATATCCACTCATGGATAAAATTAATATCCCTCAAAAATTATAGGATATCCTACCTGTAAAAAGCATTTTAGGTATCGTTTAAAGTTACACCTTGTTACATTACAAATAAATGAAGGATTAGAATCATTAACGCAGGTATATGTCATCGCGCCTAATTAAAATGACGATGACTATTTCGAATACATTTTCACAGGATGGCAATTTCTAATTTGGTCAACGACTAGGATCAGCTCGTTTATACAAGAAATTTTAAAATAATCACACAATTACTTTACTTACTCAAAAGCTGAGTATTCAAAGATGAAATTAACAAGCACATGCAATAACACTCGTCAATCGAGCTTCAGCACGAGATTCGACGGAAGCCTGTTTTGATCCAATATGAAGTTTTGCCAATACAGAACACCCAGAATGACCATATTAAAGATTAAAATATTAATGAGTGTTGATGAATGTGGGCAAAATGTTGGGATTATAATTGGAATAGGCCTAGTTATTTCTAATTTAAATCTCTAGAAGGCTATAGCTCCGAAACATTGACAATATCGTGATCATAAAAATTAGCCATCATTTATAATTTCCCCGAGGAAAACGGATCTACCCCTTCATAATGCAATCCGCAAATTATCAAGGAATTGACTTATACTAAACCAAGTACTGTTGCATTAGGTACTAAATGTATCATTACAGAATCGACATTTCCCACTGCTGCCCCACTTGTTGAAACAACATCCGGAGAATGCCAACTTAAAGGTATGTTAGATCATCCAATCATAGTTTCTCTGAGAAATACGAGGCTTTTTAGGGGTATCTCCGATGCATATAAAATCAAGTATTGCTGCAATCAGATCATAGATGATGGATGTTTTTAAATGGCTTGATTTTTGAACATGCACGTTTGTACAATATATTATATATATAGATCAATACACAAGTTATCAATATGAATGTTTACAGACTTTTGGATTTTTGGTCCGTCCGTAACATTATAGTCTGTAGTAAGATATGTAACATATTCCACTTGTGATTCTGAATGGTAAAGATTAAAAGGTGGATTGGATCGAGTGGATTGGATTCATGTAAAAGGTGGATTGGATCGGGATTCTTCAAAATATGGATTTTCCTTAAAAAAATTACATTGATCTCCCATCAGACGATTAATGCTCTCCTCACTTCCTCAATGTCAAATAATAGAAATTATATTATTTTGCTAGTGTAGGCTGGAAAGGTGATCTGATACACACTCTTATTCATTCGAAGGGTAATTTTAGACATTTCACAAATCATAAGGCAGACTTTTGAAGTCGAAGATCCATATCATCTGCTTTCAACTCAAACAGAACATGGCAGAACTGTCTTGGGAACACCCACACGTCAATTTGAATGACAGCTCTTATCTACAGATCTCTGTTTTTATTATGTCTTTCTAATGTTGATTTACAAGGGAGAGCAGTTGAATACTTTAGAGTTTAGAGTAGCTATCAACTAATTGAAGATGTATTTGTCATTGCTTTGTCGATTCCTTAAAGGGACCCATGTAATCACAAAATACTTTAGGCTGGAGGAAATTGCTTAGAGGGAGATCAACTAAAAAATCCATATTTTGAAGATTCCCGATCCAATCCACCTTTTACATGAATCCAATCCACTCGATCCTATCCACCTTTTAATCTCTACCTTATGAATTCGTCATTTGAAGAATAATATAAGAAATAAAGATAAATATAAATTGATGATCCTGCTTAATTGTTATTCAGATGTCTTTTTAAGCTCAAAATCCTTCAATGGTGTCTACAGATGGTAGATGTGGACCACAATTCAACAACCTTGAATGTCCCATTGATTGCCCTATATTGGACTGGACATTCTTGACACCGTGCTGTAGTACTGTTGGATGGTGTGGCAAGACCGATACCCATTGCAATGGCATAGATTACAGAGAAAGGTACCCACCTACAGGTATGATTACAGTGATCTGTGAGTGTATATTTCAATAGATTCAATAGATTCGTATTGTATGAGTTTATTAAAGCTGGCGATTTCACGATAAACCATTTGAGTTACTATATAATATTTCTCATCAAAAGTAGTGGTTATGTGTGATGTGTCTGATACATTTATATAAAATGAAGATTTGAGGGGTTCACAAATATTGGGACAATTTGAAAAAAGTAGATTTGATTGATTCAAATATAATTTTACATTTTCAGAATAACATGGTTAATGGGTATCATAAATTATATATCCATCCGAGCAGAAAGTCCTTTCCTCTGAAATGTCTTCGCACCAAATGCACCCTCCTTCGGACGCCTATAAAAAGGACTAAATTGTAAACTGAACTTAATCTTATATTGAGATTCTTGGCTATTACATAATACGAGTTTAACCATTCAGCAATTAGAATACGCTAAACCACAAACAGCCATAATCAGGAAAATTATTAATCCAAGTTCACAAGCACCATGGTTTGATAAGGTTTTGCAATATTTCGATTCATTATGTAAATCTTTTTAACGCTAAAATATTACAAAAATGGCATTTAACATAAAATAAACTACTTATTTCCACCAAGATTGCAATCCTAAATTATATAATTCCGTAACAGCATTTCGTGATACATGTAAGGGACCCTTCGAGATCGAGCCACACAAAGTCTAATTCAATGTATCGTTCTTGTTCATGTTATCGTTTGTGAAAAGTAATATACAGTGTGTCTAAAAAAACGCAACGAACAAAAACATTGCAAAATCACGAAAGCAGTGAAAATTACATCAATTCAATTGTTTTACTATCACGCCATGTGTCTCCCCTTTTCAATGATATGTTATTTATCCATATGTGACCATGGACCATTGAATAATCATTCATTTTGCACAATGGTTCAATATCTGCTCTGGACCAAGTTTTAGACATTTCACACTACGACAGAGAATCACCATTGAGGTTGCTGCTCTCTGCCAGAACCCACAAATGATTCAAAAAGATGTGCGTGCAATGAAGAGAGGAGCCAATATCTGTATACAGAGAAATGATGGGCATGGGATGTAATCTTTCATGAGTAATCTTTCATAAGATGACAGACAATGGAGAGGTTAAGCTAACGATGTTTTTCACAACGTAACCGTGAACGCAAAGTACAAAAATTAACAAAGGAATGTATCGAGCGCTCATAGTTTTATGCGCGCTTAGTCTACTTCAGATACTCTTCAGCTTCATAGTTTCGGGTTTAGAACGGGAGATTTTGAAATTTGACGTTGGGTCAACGGGAATCATTTTACTCGTGTCTATTGAACACTTTGCTGTCAATTTTGATTTCGATGCACAGTTGAATTCTTGCTGAACACGATGATGTATGTCATGCATGATTTAGCGCCAAAAATCTTACGAAACGAGCTCGTTTAAAATATGTACTAGAAAACCAGCTATAAAACTGCATCAATGACATACGCTGTACTATAGAATCATTACACGCTATGGTGTAGTCTAAACAAACACTGGATTTGAACGGCTATTTATTTGAGAAGGCTACATGAATTTGTATATGGTCGAGTGGTACGTACAGGTTCAGTTTCGATTATATATGCAAAGCTTAACCTCTCAAATGACAGTGGCTTAACTGTTTTAATAATGCCACTTTTTTGCAAGTGTGACATGTTGTTAACTGAACTATCATGGATACTGATGAGTACATAACGTAAAATCTTTTTCCTAAGTAGAACTAAGTCTGAAATTTATGTTATGTGAATCTTGTGACCAAATGTAAAAATAATTAAGATATCTGCTATATTAAGAAATTATTCAAGAAATGGAGGGTTGCATTTTTTGGGTCACCCTATACTAAAGAAGTTATTTCATTTTTGGAGGGTTGTGTTTTTTCGGTCACCCTGTAGACCGGCGACGTGAGAAACATTTCAATTAGGTTTATACTGACAGTAACAAGAAAAATATGCTGCATATTTGTATTGTATTTTGAAAATATAAAGTACATTGATCATATTTTACTCTGCCGTTAAATGTTCTGCACATCGTACACGCCCTCCAAATAAAATTGATCCCCTGAATTCTTCCATTTACTTTGCGAACTGAATCATCTGGATGATGCATAATGATTTTCAGTTCTATGGTGTAATTAGGTTAGTACTCTGGACTTATGTTGACTAGTACTCAGAGAGTTGATTCACCTTGTTATAGCATGGCGGTACAGTATGTCAAGGCGATTTGCAATTTTGCGGTAACGATCACAAAAGATGGCGGATGGAAAAGACAGCATGTCCCCTGCCTGTAGGCAAGATTCACTGGTAAGATGTCCTTTTAAACAACTTCCATTCGGTGACGTATATATGGATGGTTATAAAGACGAAGTTAAATCTGCCGTGTGGTCTACAAGAAACAGAATATAAGCTGTAAACTTACTGGCTGAGGTATTTTTAGTCCATTCTCTCGTTTCCTCAGTATATGTGCCTCAGACCCACTCAAAATACTGACTGTAAGTAAACTGTGTATAAAGAAGCCATAAAACGACAAATCCAGAACAGGAATGTGATCTATATTGTTAATAATAAGGTTTCAATCGCAAGTTCGTTAGACGATTACGCATGGATTGCATGATTTTTTATGGACGGTAACGTATTGTATTAGCTGTACATTAGATAAAGCGGACGGTTACGTGAATGTACACCTGTCAAGTCAAGTTTGCTAGTTCTGATAGCCTCTTTCTATGTTATTGTAATAACGGGTAAACGGAATATTGAATTGCCTATATTTGTTTCAGGACTCAAATCAAATCCTGTTGAAAATTATATAGCAACATTTCAATTTTGGATCACAAGCGGTATGATTAAATGAATCGGGGTTTCATATTTGAACGAGATACGCGTAACCGTCCATCAATTTTTTGTGTTACCGCAAATTAAAAATACATTATTATGGCTTGAGTAGAACATATTAGGTGGTTTTTAATGCCTAATTGACTTTGAATGATCGTATGTAAGTTACACCTATATGCACCAAGGATGCCCTAACGAGAAAAAGAAACAAATTACTAGATTTTATGTAGTTTTGAATTTCAAACTCGACAGGTTTTCGCTTATTTCATGTCATCCCCGCCGGGCATCAATTTGCAAAGACTACGTTCAAATTATACATTACCGAATGCCCCACCGAATTCAGCGCTTGCATAAATGCTTCCATTGATAGACAGTAGTAGGAAACAATGCACAACCCTTAGCTTTCTGTTTCATCACGGCCACTTTATTGGATAAATCAGAGAACGTACAGTATAGTCCAACCTCGTTTTCAGAGGTGGCGTAACCGTCATGAAATTTACTAGAGTAATACTAACTCGATAAAAGGCCTATGCTGGCTTGAACTGTCTGTGGTTCTAGCCAGGATAACTATACCAGTATCTACAATATTTTCTTAAAATTAACGTCTACAGTACAGACTTCCGGTTGTACGACGTGTTGAGAATGGGGCGATATTAATTATAATTTGTTTAAAAAAATACAATCATACAATAGCTTGAGTATTTAGTTTTCTGTAACTATATTCATATTATATAAAAATCAATTTGCAGCTTTTGCTTCCCTTTCAATACATTACATGTTAAGCTCTGTCAAAGGACAGCGAGTTGTTTGTATAATGAATCAGGGTAGTTTTTCATGCATTTCGCTCGAATTTTATACAATACACTTTAAAACATTTAATTGACTATAAGATTGCACCATATAATCCCAAAAATATTTCTCATTTTCGAAGATTATCTGTGGATTATCTCTGGATTAAAGGTACATTGTAACATACATGAACAGCCGACAAAATGTTTTTTTAAAACCTTCTCTGATGATCCTATTTTCGAACTATGCCTGCAGATCCATTTAAAGTCGTCTATTGTACCTTGAAAGCCATATTTAGACTGAGGATTGAAAGGTGTAGATGTAGATGTAAATGTGTTCACGACAACCTTCAGCACATCTTTATTACGACAGACCGGAAGTGCATTTTCGAGTTGAGCAAATGGTGATAATGTTGTTTTTGAAGCGGGGAATTCAAAACATTACAAAAAGAAATCATAGTAAGCATTTAAAGATCATTAAGAAGCATTTAAAATCGAATCCACGGCAAAATCTGAAATAATTGAAATATTCCACACGGACTTCAGAGAAACACTTCCGGTTTCATAATCCATGATTCTAAAGGACGAGTGTCTTAAAGACCCTATATTAGCCCCCAAGATATTTAGAAAAAATTGTGCAGGATATCAAAGAAGAGACTTTGTTTGATAACCAGATCCAACAATTTGGTCATTCTGACATTTATATTTCAAAATATAGGTCATTCTATTAACGTGTATAAAATGACCATTTCAGGGAAAAATCACTTTCCACATCATTATTGTCAATGTTTCTATTCATTATCAAAGTAATCATTATTTTTAGTCATTTAAGACTTTTTAATTGATCCTGTTGCTATAATCTTACATAATAGTGACAAAGCATATTGAGCAACATTCGAAAACATATAAAATATAACAAATCAAAAATACAAACAAAATGTTGAATAGTGATCTTCTTTATACTTCATTTAGAACAATTGTCTACAAAAAAAGTTTGCGAAACTATGTCAGAAAAGAATATTGAGTTCTTTTAATTTACATCACAATGAGAAAGAACAAGGGGCAATATTTAAAAACACATGAAGTAATTAACAAGTCAAAAATGCATATCAATCAATTATATATTGAGATCATTTGCACATGCAGTTTGTAGCAGTAAAATACTGAATTTATTATTTCACATCACAGTGAGGAAGCACAAAGAGCAACATTTGAAAACACATGGACTTTACATAACTGTTGATGAGCACATTCATGTGTTTGTTCATTATAATAAGAGATTCTCTGAGCTATCATCATCTCCTTTAGATGACAACATTTCATACAATATATCTTTTGATTTTAAAATGTCAAACTTGGTGCATTTCTTTTTGCTTTTATACCCATTGTGCCTACAACCCTACTCCCAACAAGGCATGTACAACACCATCCAGTGATTGCATCAATACTATTACATACATCTGGATCTGGGTTATACTCCACCCATGTATAATGAGATTTAGAGGACACAGACCGATTACTGGACTTTTACGCAAATTAGGCCATATGTATCTTTTTTAACAATGATGGTCTATTTCCCATCTACTTGAAGATGGTCATCTGTGCATCGTTTAAATTGGTTGGCTTGATCTCAAGAGAGTCTACTATGATTTAGATGAAATCCTCTTGTCTCCATACAGGGGGTACTGGGAGAGTTCCCTTTGCTTTGGGCATTTTATTAGCAAATGTCGTTTTTCCGCCTACTGATTGTGACTTACAGTATATTTCTTCTGTACAATAAAGTTGAGCTGGATTTCTAAATATGAACATTGGTATGATCAGTCAGTGAACTGTGATTATATAAAAAAAATTATTAATACACAAAACATCAAGATTAAATGATTGTACGACAATCATCTCATATGAATGTATTGAAAGGAATTGTATGTTATTATGTTGCTTAGAGCCATGGTAAAGATATATGCTTCTCAAGAAGTCATGCTCCAGTGCAAGCATACATATTAGTTCATGAAAATATCATATGAATAAAGAAAATATACTCGAATATATAAAACACAACTGTCACAATCATTCTAGGGATTTTCAAAATGGCCGACATCATTTTATTTCATGCTGAAAATTGCAGAAAAGTTCCATTTTTGTACAA